GGGGCAGGGCACTGAGGCTCAGAGAGGGCAAGGCCTTTGGCCAAAGCCCCGCCCAGGGTGGTGGGGTTAGGACCTGCCCCCGCCCCGCCTCCCTGCCTCCCCCAGGCAGTGCACAGAGGAGGCGTCGCTCCAGAGGGCACTGGACACCTCCTGGTGTGGGGCAAAGGGTTGGCCCAGTGAGGCCAGCAAGGACTGGGTGGCAGAGACCAGGGTGGCAAAAGCCATGCAAACAGCAGCGGAGACGGAGAGCATGAGAGGGTGGTGGCACTGCCTGGCGGGCTCCACTATGTGTTCACGGAGCGCCTATTGTGCGCCTGGCCCACCCAGGACAGAAAGAACTGTGCACACGAAATGTGTGGTTGAGCCAGGACCTCGGCAGCAGCTGGGGTCCGACCTCTACCCTCAGGGCTGGGGGAAGAGGCAGGGCTGAGGCCCAACCAGTGCGATGCTGAGGGACACAGGGTGTGTGTGGGGGAAGGGCAAGGGCTGGCCGCTGTGCCCAGACGCTCAGGAACCGTCTGTGAGGTGGGGAGGGCCGCCAGGCACGGTGAACTCCTAGCCTCCCTCCTCCTGGCCACCGGCTGGGCCCAGAGCTCCTTAGCAGGCCATCCACGGAGGGGGGATGTGGAGCCTGAAGGGAGTGGCACACACCCTCCAGAGGTGGCCGGACAGAGACAGCCACAGGGGCCAGGGGCCCTGCAGTGTGACTCCGGCAGAGCCTGGCTGGCAGGGCTAGGGGCTACTGAGTCTGGGGCCAGGAGAGGGGTGGCAGGGGATGGAGGCTCTACCAGAACTCCAAGCCCTGTTCCGAGGGCCCCACACCTGCACTTGGGGGCACCAGCCAGGCAGGCACAGTCAGAGGCAGGAGAGGCGGGGAGCACAAGCGGCCCCAAGACAGAGGCCACGAGGAGGTGAGCAGGCCAGGGCTCGGGGTTGCAGGAGCCATCAAGGGCAAATTCCGACAGGTCCCCAGCTGGGTGGAGGCTGGCGTCAGGGCGTGTTGAAGCCCCACCAGGAGGGCAGCTGCCCTTTACCCTGAGAGGCCAGGCAGCCAGTGAGTCTCAATGGCCTGAGGGTGGGGGTGTGCGCATTGCTGAGGGACAAGTGTGGCCTGGGCCCCTCAGGGTTCCCCCTCCAAGAAGCGTCTCCTTCCCCGTTGCCGGGCACCCGGAATGTCCATTGTGCCTGTAGCTTAGCAACAAGCCTGTCGCCCCCACTGTCCCCACCCCATCCATGGCCGGCCCCCCACCCACAGCTGGCCCTGCATTCCTCCCCAGGGCCCGTGTCTCTGCAGGTCCAGGGCTTACAGGCAGGGGCCAGGCCCCAGACCACATTCAGCCTGCGTCTGCCGTGCCAGCACCCTGGGTGACAGGCTGGGTCCTGCCAGCTACCAGTGCTGGCCACTGGCCTGGTGCATCTTTCCTTTTTTTATTTTTTAATTATTTGTAGAGACAGGGCTTCCCTGTGTTGCCCAGGCTGGGCTCAAGCGATCCTCCCATCTTGGCCTCAGGCATGAGCCACCACACCCAGCCTCCTTTTTTTAAAAATAAAAACTTTTGGAAATTGTCAAAGAAATGCACCAGCAGAATCGTGTGAAGAATCCTGCACACAGCTCCCAGGAGTCTGTGGCCAGCCTGGTTTGAAGTCTGCTCCCCTTCCTCCCCAGCCCTGTTATTCAGAGTTGGATCTCAGCCACCCTGTCATTCCCCAGCACTTTGTCAGCATGCCCGCAAATGTGGCCACGCCTTAAACTCACAAAACAGCCACTCAAGCTTCAAACTTCCCAACTTTCCTATTTTGTAAAAGACACTGGTTTATTCAAATTGGGGCCCCGTGGGGTCTGCGCACAGCGACCTGCTGTTGCTGCCTCAGTTTCTCTCTGGGAGCACGAGGGCATTTGCAGTGCAGCAGCAGGGAGCGACAGGGTCTGGGGCTCAGAAGCAGACAGTCCGACCACACCGGGAGAAACTGAGCTGCAGCGGACCGCGCAGCCTCAGAGGATCAACCGGCCGCGTGCAGGAAGCTGCCAGAGAGCTGCCGCTTCAGTTAATAAAGGGGGCTTTTGTTTAAGAAATAAAAAGAAATGTTTGCGAGACTCCCGGGTCTTCCAGCAGTGATTCTCAGATTTGAGTACCAGAGCCACCTGGAGGCTTGGAGAAAGGGGGCACCCTGGGCCCTGCCTTGGAGTTCCGGCTCAGCAGGGTGAGGTGGGGATGACGCTGAGCAGCAGGGGTGGGGTGGGGACAATGCTGAGCAGGCAGTCCAGGGGCCACATCTTGAGATGCTCAGTGTCACGGGCACTTCAGGAACATATCTGTGACTAAAGTTTAGCAATGGTGTCACCTGGAACACGAGAAGAACTGCCTTGTGGGTTTTTAAAGATTAAAGAACCAAAATCAGCGTGCCTGGCATGTGGTAGGCATATCTATCGCTCTACACAGGAGGCACCTATGTTGCTACGAAGATGGCTTCAGCACCCACCTGGTGGCAGCATACGCAGGTGACGGCACAGATGCGGGCTCTGAGGGCCTGTGACAGCACCCACCTCAGCCCTCTCAAGGGGTGAGGAGGGCCCGACACGGGAAAATGGATAGGAAACGAGACATGGGGTGAAGTCCTGGGCTGGGGGAAACACAAGGACCCAAAAGCCTGGCGGGGCAGGACGGCCTGCTCTGACCCATGCCCTTCAACCACGTTAAAAGAGCCCAGGACAGACTGGGAGGAGCAAAAGGGGGGCGGCTTGGGGCAGTGGCATGCAAGCCCCTGAGTCTCAGGAGCTGAGGGGCATGGCTGCCAGAGCACAGGAGGGCCAGGCACAGGCACCACCCTCCCTGCAGCCCCCAGCCGGTGTCCTCATCTGTCAGAGGGCACTGCCGTGCTTTGCTCCCTGACCTGACCCTGTGCGGGAAGCTAGTGGGTCCTGAGGCACGGAAGGGAGCATGGGGTGGGCGGGAGGGAGGCAGGGGGCCTGCCATGGGGGGCCAGGAGGTGGGGATGCCCCTCCCCACTCCCGTCCCCTCTGCTTTGCTGCTTCTAGAAGTGCCTGCACCGGCCTGCCCCCTCTTTGAAGGGACAGATGTCAGGGAGAAAGCTGATTATTGTCAAAGGCTGGAGGCTGTGACCGGAGATCTCGGTGAGCGTGACCCAATTCTGAGCTATTCTCAGCCTGGTGGGAGCCAGTTATTCCCTCCCGCCAACACCACCGCTTCGGAGGCGGCCTGACTTTGAAACGCCCTCGTCCTGGCTGACGGGCTGGGCCACGCAGGCTCCCCTGGGCATGGAGGCTCCGCGTGGGGAGGGCCCGCGGGCTGGCAAGGCCACTGCTGGGGCAGGGCAGCAGGCTGGCCCCACTGTGCCCCTCCTTGCTCACTGATGAACCGCAGTGGGTTGCAGGGCCCAACCCTCTGGCTCTGGGGTCCACACACCCCGGCACCCAGCCTGTCTGCCGCCAACCCGTTGGCCACCTCGGGAAGCGACTTCTCTCAAGGCTCAGTTCCAGTGTCCAGGAGCGGGCCGTGCGCAGAGCCCCTGGGACAGAAAGGCCCGTCCACTCCCCCACCCCACACCGACCCAGACCTACCACACAGGGTCCAGACCACTGCCGCTCCCGCATCCAGACCTCGCCCTGCACTGTGTGCCCAGATCTGGGTCTGGCTCCTGGGAGCCCTGAAGGGCAGGGCCTGGCACGTGGGAGGCACTCAACCCATGCCTGCTGGTGACAGCGCCCACCCTCTGTGGCTGGTGAGGACAGGGCGTGAGGCCCGGCAGTTGCTCCCTCCCTCCTGAGGGCATCAGGAGCCAGGCCCCTCTTTGGGGACCCTCTTGCTCAGGGCCCCTCCAAGCTGGCGTGTGAGCCCTACAGCCCCGAGGCTGTGGGGGCACTGAGTCCAGCGCTCACCCTGCTTAGAGCAGCTCTTGAAACAGCACTTGCCAGCCCAGAGGCTGGAGGTGCACCCTCTCCATCCACCACTTCTGGGGCACCACCCACCCCACCTGCAGGGCTTGCCCTCCCTTCTCCAACGTCCCCCTGCACAGGTGTCTCCTGAGGAACCTTCCAGGACTCTGCCTGAAAACTCTGCTCTCTAGGGTCATGCACTGGGGAACCACTTATGGCCAGGATTCCGGAGTCGCAGCTTTGTGCCTCAGTTTCCCTACCTGTGCAGTGGACTGTTGGGGGGGGCTCGGGTCCCCTGGCAGCCCACCTACCCTCCATCTTCCGGGCCAGAGGCGGTGGGTGGAGAGAGCAAAGCCGCAATGGAGGCAGAGGGGGCAACGGAAGGGGGACAGCCCCAGACTTAGACTGCAGGGGTGAGGGCCTCTTGGGTCCTCAGGGGCAACCCCGCATCATCACATTCTGCTAGACAGGGTGTGCCCCCAGCGGCCTGCTGCCCTCCGACCACTCAGAAATCCTGTCCTGGTCCCCACCCGTACAGCCCTGGTTGGGCCCAGCCCTCTGGGGCTCCTGGGTAAGGGGCCGGGCCCTGAGGCAGGCATGGTTGGGGCAGAGGGAGGCCCAGGAGCAGCTCACACCCTGGGGCTTCCTGAGGGAGGGGACTTTAACCCTGGCTCTAGGGCAGTACCCAGGACTGGGACCCTCCAAGCAGGTGAGTCAGGGCCAGGGCCTGGGACCTTCCAGGGCGTGGGCAGCCGGGAGTCATGTGCCACTGTCTCAGTGCAGGACAGCAGGGCGAGGGGGGAGGAATTTCCAGGGAAAATCTGAGGCCCAGGCGAGTACACACTGGGCCAGGGAGGGCGTTTCTGGTGAATCCTTGCCCCATGATGAGCCTGTGCTGCTGACTCAAGCTGATCATCAGGGCCTGCTGATGGGTCACTCACGGCCATGGGCCCAGCGCTGCCCCTGGAAGTCAGGCTCCCATCACAGAACTGGGCTGTGCTCCTCTGCTGTGGGGGCTCCCTCGGGCCATGGTGTGCAGGACTCTCCCGCCTGGGCATTAGATGGTCTGGGGAAGCATGCTGAGAAAAGGACATTTGAAGGGGTCTTGAAGGACATACAGGAGTTTAAGGCTGGCTCAAGGCCAGGTGAGGATCCAAGCTGAGGGAGTGGGGTGAGGCCCAGCTATATGGTGGGTGGCGGTGGATGCCTGGAGGCTCAAGGTCGTCATGGGGGCCTGTGTGCAGGGCAGAGCAGCAGGGCCGAGAGGATTGAGACAGCGACTCTGTCCCACGTGACAACTAAGGGTGGGCTGGGACAACTCAGGGTGGATTCCGCTCTCCATGTGCGGATCCTGGTGACTCACCCAGGGCCGCCACATGGGCTACCAGTCCTGGCTGGAAAATGGGCACAACCTGGACCCTACAGTGCCTGAGGCTTACGTGTCCTATAAGCCGAGGAGCTGCGCCTCAAAGAAACACCTCCTGGTGTTCACCTGTCAGGCAGCATGCAGGCCTCTGCTGTGGCCAGGAGGGGCAGGGCAGGCTTGGGGGAACTGAGACCTCGGGGTGTGAGCCACCCAGTTCATGACACCCCAGGCACAGCCTAACCCCAAAGCTCCTGGCATTAGGGTCACCCACTTCCATGTTGAACCTGACCGGGGGCCCCTCCTCTGTGCCCCAGGTGAGGAACAAGGTTAGAGGGAAGGCTTGTGTCCTGGAGGGAGAGGACAAGCCCTCAGAACAGGGCTGAGCAACTCTCAGGGACACAGGATTCCCCGACCACAGAAGCCACAGCCCCCAGTGACCCACAGTGTGACACTTCGTGGGGACCAGGCGGCCTGGGGTGGACCCTTCCTTCAGGGGCTCATGCAAGTAACCCAGGCAGCCACACTGAATATTCCAGCCCGGGGCTGTGGAGGAAGGCCCAGCACTCCTGGACCACCCCAACCCCAGGGACAAGTGGGCTTTTCTGCAGCCAGATGGGGATGGCCACACATCTGCCCCTTTGTCCTGGAGTCTGGAGCACCCGTCATGCCAAACCAGGACAGGCAGGAGCAGGGACCGGGGCAGAGCGCAGGCAGGGCCGGCCTGGACAGCGGTTGGGGGTGGCCTTGGCCGCTAGGGACCATGCAGCACTGAGGGGACGGCACGTTTATTGCTCATCACTGACACTCAGGGCCAGGCGCCTGCCAGCACAGCACTCAAGGCCCCTACAGCCGCTGAGGCTCCCAACAGCCGCTGACTCCATGGGCTGAAACCCAGGCCCCCTAGGCACCAGTGGCAGCTCCAAGGACCCCATGGCTGACATAGGCACCGGTCCTCCCTTGAGGCTGTCACACACCAGGGCAGGCGAGGACAGCCCCCCAGCCTGGGCGTCCCACCCTCTGTCCCCGCTTTGGAAAATGCCCCCTTAGCCTTTGAGAGGTGTTCACATAGGCACTGTCCCTGGAAGGTGTCCTGGACACACCTCCTGGACCCTACACTGTTGTCCCGTGGGAGGGCCTCCTCCATGCCCCTGGCTTCTGTGAGGGGTAGGGGTGCCCACATAGTTCCGGGACTCACAGGCTGGCACTCACACCCTAGCCCCGACACGCCTGCCTGGTCGCCTGTGGCGAACAACCCGCTCTGCTGCTGCTCTCCGCAGCGCTGCCTGGCCTGTGTCAAGGGGCTCTGGCTGGGTGGGGGCTGCCCCGCCTCTTGGACTTGAGTGGACGCAGGCCTGGGCTGAGCCCAGTGCTGTAACATCAGCCTGAAGGCCAGAGAGCAGGGTCACCTCCCTGGTTCCTGGGCTGGCCTGGTCTCCTAGCACTGGGGAGGGCAGGGCAGGGATCCTGGGTCATCTCACCCCAGCTTCTGGCCCAGGCTGGAGCCTCGGCCCGGGAACTGGAGAAACACGAGATGGTCTCAGGCCCTGTGGGGCAGCCAGGGCCGTGGGGGCTCAGGAGTCAGATGCAGCATGGCCTCGGGGACAATGCCCCCTCCCTCCCCCACCCCCTTCCTGCTTAGGCCCACCTGGGAGGGGGTCAGACTCCCCCACCTGCACCCTTTGGCCTCAACATCCAGGGGAGCCTGTGACAGTGGAGACTTCATATTGGCAACAAACAGCAGCTGGGATGGGCCGCGGGACTGGACAGCAATGGCTGAGGCCCAGCCCCAGCACTCCTCCTCCATCATAGCCACCCCTCCTGCCGTCCCACTCTGGCCACCCAGGAGGCCCCCAAGCCCCGCCCCACCATCTGTGTCTGTCAGGCATTGCAGACCATATAAGGTGCCTCTGGCCTCCCTGCCCAGCCCTTCGGTGCTCCCAGCTCCCTGATGCCCTGGGTGGCGGCGCCCTAGCCTGGGGTCTTGGTGGCGAAGGTCAGGTAGCCAGTGTGGCCCACGGCCTCCTTCATGGGCGTGCCGCTGCGGAAGGGGCCAGTGTCAGGGCTGGCAGGGCCATCTGTGCCTGCGCCCAGGTCGGGTGGTGGCAGGCTGACAGTGCGCACGTTGTAGACCTGTGGCAGCACCTCCAAGGTGCTCAGCTCCGAGAAGCCACGTGCCGCCAGCGCCTGGCACGTGCGCTGCACCTGCTCGATGCATGGCGAGAAGGAGCAGAAGCGCCCACCTGTAGGAAACAGGACCCGAGGGTCAGAGGGCAGGAGTGGCCTGTCTGGCCCTGGCATCCCTGAACTCCCACCCTAGGGTCTGAGGCCAACCTAAGATGGTCCCAACGCAGACTGCAAGCTCTCCAGAGAGCTGGGATGCAGGGCAGAGGGGCCTGGCCCTCAACTGGCAGCCCACCATGGGGCCTGGCGCCACTGTTCATGTCACCCAGCTTAGCCGCACTAGGCCCTCCCACATGCCAGGCACTGGGTCAAGCTTGTGCCGCCACTGTCTCACTTGGCCCACAGTGGGCACTGCTCTCCTGCCTTCCACGGGGCTGCTGGAGCGCTGGGCCCAGAGTAGCTCTGACAGCACGGCAGCGCGGGGCGGTGCGGGGGCCGCTGCTGTCACAGGAAATCAGAGGCTGTCACTGCTCCCGGGAACAGGAGGCGCCTACTCGAAGCACAGCCTGAGCATGACAGCCCCTCCCCGCCGCCTCCCACCAGGGCAGCCGCGGGCTTCACTTGGCCTGGCCTGCAGTGAATGAGAACCTAGCCCGGGTCAGTTCCTGTCCTGGCTGGGAGGACCTGGGGAAGCCAGGGCCGGGTAGAGGTATGGCCCAGACAAATGTCCTCAAATGTCCCTGAGGCTTGGTCCCCTCAGGTGTACCCTGACACGGGGCCGCCGGGAGGTTCAGGGTTAGAGGAGGCACCTTCTGTGTGAAACAGCCTAGACAGGGCACCGAGGCTGAGCGCACCGCACCCTCCCCAATAGGCTCCAGTGACCAGCAGGAGACGACAGGCCCCTGAATGAGCCCGGAGCCTTTGGACCCAGAATGGGGAGCTGGCAGGAGAAGGGACAGGTCCCAGAGGCAGGCGCAGGTTCCCCGAGCCACTCCGGAGGAAGGAGTCACAAAGGCAGCATGGGGGCCCCAGGAGGGGTTCTGCCGGGTTCAGCCTCCCCGGGACTACGGTCCAGGCCCAGAAGTGTCCCCAGAGCAGGGAGCCTAGGAGGCAGAGCGTGGAGATCCCCACAGCTACCCCAAGGCCTCAGCAGAGACCAGCACCCAGGAGTCAGGGCTGGGCCAGAGCCAGCAGGGAATCCCCGGCCATGGCCTTGCTGTCCGTACAGGGCCTCGGCTAGTCTTTGAGGTGGGGCGGGGCGCCCCACACCCCCACCCTCCACCCTCTCACAATGCAACTCTCAGCTGGGAAGAAGGGCCCCTGCTGCCTGAGCTGCTCCTTCTCCAGAAAAGGGAAAAACCTTGGCGTCCCAGCCACCTCCCTGGCTTGAGGCCCGACCTTCCCCAGGGCTGCCCCGCCTCCGCACCCAGCATCTTCCCTAAAAGGGGCCAGCTCCCTGGGCTCCAGAGCTCATGGGAGGAGAGACTTCGGGAAACAGCATGGGCAGGGGATTCCACACACCGCCAGCCGGGCCTGCCCTGCACTTGGGTGGCACTGCCACCTTTCCCGATAGGGGGTTGACATCCTCCCCATCGGCCCATCCTCCCCAGCTCTGCCTCCCCTGGCCAGCCTGACCCACTCTTCATCTAAGGCCAAGACGAGGCCCTGGCCTAGCCACTGCCATGGTGTGGCTTGGTTTCTGGACCCCTCAGTCCTGCACCCTTGCCCCAACCCCGCCCGGGCTGTACCTCTCCCGGAACCCCTAGTGCACCTTCGACCTTGAGGGCATCCCAGGCGTGGCCCACAGCCTCCCAGGGTGACGGGATGTCCAGGAAGACGGCGTCGGCCACGTGGCTCACGCCAAAGCCGCTGCGGCACACATCCTGGGTGCGCACAGTCACCCAGCGGCCCACACGGTGCTCCTGGAACTCCTCCCGGGCCTTCTCTGCCCGCTGCTGGTGGAACTCCACCGTGTGCAGGTGGCCCGTGGGTGCAATGGTGCGGATGATGGCGTGGGACACAGAGCCACTGCCGGTGCCTGGCAGGACAAGATGGGAAGGGCAAGGCATCAGTTGGGACTGCTCGGGACCCACAGCCTCCCAGGAAACAACCCCCGCCTCACCCTGGAGACCCACACAGTGCTCGGGAGGACCCCAGATTACAGGCGGGCATTACTCCAGGGCTGTGTGGTCCCCACTGCCTAGAGCCCTGGGCTAGCCTTGGGTTGGGCGCCCTGTCTAGGGCTGAGCTGGGGTTGACAGGCTGTGTATGCTGTGGTGTCCGCTGTGGGCACAGGCCAGGCCAGTGGCAACCCTGCCCTATCCCGCCTGGCGCATGTATAGGCACTGAGAGCAGCCCAGCTGACTGGAGCCTCAGGGGAAATCTGTGCAGGGGGAACAGAGAGGCCCATCCCATCGCTCAGCTCTGTCTCCTTCCAGGCATGGCCAATCCCTTCCTCAGTCCCCATCAACAGTGGCCTACCCTGCCCGTCCTCATGCTCACCTCTCCCCAGAAGCTCCTTGGTCCCCTTGGTCCAGCCCACCCCCACCAAGCCTGCCTAAGCCTGACCCCACCACACGGCGGCTGGGGCTCTGCCGTGGCCTGGTTGGACTCAGGACGCAGGGCCTGGCCACCAGCCACACAGCCTCAGTCCTCCCCAGCACACCTGCCCCAGCTTCCCTCCGGATGGCCCCTCTGCTTGACTTCCTGTCCCCTGGAAAGGGCCAGGGCCTGCGTCCTTCCTCCTGCTGCACCTTCAGGGGTCATCTACCTGATGTCACTCCCATCCCCAGGCCCCTCCACTCGAGACTCCTGCTAGAGCAGCTACTGCACACTTGCTACCCATCCCTCGAACCCAAATTGCATTGAGCATCGCAAGCGCTTGGGCCAGACCCATAGAGGTGCTTCCACTCCCTCTGTCCCATCCCACGTCCTGCCACCTCCCACATTCTTTTTAGGGAGCAGCCCCTCCCCTAGGTGCTCCTAGTCTGCTGCCTATTCCCCGCCGCAGAGCCTGGCCATGCCTCCTTCCCACTCAGGGGCAAGTCAGACTTGCTGGCCTCCGGGGTGGAGCTCGCCTCCCCTCCAGCCTCACTCCCAGCCCCTCTGCCTCCCCCACTGAGCCTGACTCGGCAGCACACTCCAACTGCAGGGCCTCGGCATGTTCCTCCTTGGTGGCACTGTCCCTCGGCTCTTCGCAGGCCCCCTCTCATCATGTTCAACTCAAATGTCCCCTCCTCAGAGAGGTCTTCCCTGCCTGGCCTAGCTGGAGGGACCCCACTCTGGGTCCCCCTCAGACACGCAGCCCTGTCTCACAAGTTTCACAGTAACCAGTGGCACTGAGCCGCTCACCCAGGCTGTGTCCCCGCTCCTCGAGGGCAGGAACCTGGTCTGTCTTGTTCACGGTTCCGAGGAGGGGACCTGGCATATCTGAGGAGGCCAGGAAAAGCGTGCTGCTTGATTGAGCTCTCTCGCGAGAGTGGGGCAGGGGCGGAGAGGCCAGCACCCGCCACAGGATGCACAGGAGCAGCAGCTGATGGGATTGGCTAAGTCCTGCTCTCCACCCCTCCCACCCAGACACCCCAGAGAGGGACACGGTGACCTGCAGCCCTCAGAAAGCCAGCATGGCCGTGCTAGGTCCTCTTCGTGAACCTGAACCCTAGCTCTCCTGCCCGTGAGGAACATGCCACCAACAACCTAGATGCCTAAGTGCCTGGGGCCAATCTTGGCTTCAATCACTGCACCGGGCAGCCCCAGCACCTGTATGTGTGCAGGGTTCCCACAGCCCAGGCCCTGGACTCAATGACAATGGTGCTCACATTCATTGGTGGCAGGTGAGGATCTGATCACGGATGAGGATGGGAACACTCTCCACCTACAGTGAGCTCCTTGGGGTAGCCCTGGCCTCTTTCCAGAAGGGGCAACTCTCTCTGCTTCACCATCAGCACTGAGGACTAGAGGTTGACGGTCAGCACCTAGGACAGCGCCAAGCATCAAGTTGGCCACACCCCACGAAGACAAGCAGGACCCTCACTAGAGCACCAGTCCTCCCCAGCTCCCCCTGGTCCATTTATAGCCACCTCTCACTCCAGTTACAGCACCAGCCTCCTAACGGGCTTCCCTGCCTCCACCTTCACTCCCTGCTGTCTGCGTCCCGGAAAGATGTGAAAATAGAAACCGAGGAGCCACATCTGTCTGTAGGAAGCGCAGGCTGGAGGCTCTGACCTCCACCTTTGTGTCAATTTCCGAGTTAAACTGAGGCAGCCTGAGGAACTCACCAGACTCACAGACCACAGAGCCGGGCCGAAGCTCCAACATCATGGTGATGAGGGCGATGTCTGTGGAGTAGAGGATCTGTGTGCGGTGCGGCAGGTTCAGCGTCCAGAGCTCCGGCGTGGGGTGCAGTACGTACACCCAGCCACCTCGGCCGCACGTCACCTTGGAGCCGAAGGGGCGGCCGATAAGGTCAACTGAGTGCCGCAGGACACCATGCCGGGTCTGGGTTTGTGCCCCACGCTGCACACGCACTGCCACCATTGCACCATGGCCCAGTGACAGGATGGCCGTGTCACCCTCCTTGATCAGCTCCTCGTATGCCACGAAGCTCATGGTGCTAATGTCTGGCAAGTGCCAAGGACCTGGGGAGGGGTGTGTGTAGGTATGAGCAAGTCAGGAGGCAGGATGAGGGTCTGGGGTCTAGGTAGAAGGCTTCGAGGCCTACATCCCAGCAGTGGGCATGGGCGGGGTGTGGCTAGTTCAGTCTCTGCAACTGCCTGACAGGGAGCCCAATAGCGCTGCACTCTGGCCTGGCCTCTGAAGCCTTTCTTGGTCTAGGACAAGAGACAGGGACTATGAGCCTAAATCAGAGATGAAAAGACAGAGGCTTGGCAATGGCGGAGGTCGGTCCCAAGGATTTCCGGAGTGAGGACCCGACCCTCCCATCACCCTTCTCCATGAGTCTGACTCCCATTCCCCAGGTGTGAGAGGAGGAAGCGCCTTTCCGAGGTGTCCACCGGCGGGGGAGAGGCAAATGGTCAATGAGGTCACCTCCAAGCCAGGCTTGATTCCTCGGCCCAGTCTCCCCCACAGGGGCTGGGTAGCAGGGTATGACAGAGGGGTAAGGGCTCCCCAGGAAGGGGCTGGTGACTCAGAGCTGGCCGTCCACGCAAACACCGCCCAGCCGGTGCAGAGGCAGCAAGGGGCCAGGCCGGGCCGGCGGGGGCCGCCCATGCGAGGCTGGAGGAACAGGACTTGCGCGCCGCGCTCGGCCCGGGCCACTCTCACCCGCGCCCTGCCACCCTGGGCCCCGCGGAGTCTCACCTGCGACGCTCCCGCCGCCGGGGCTCCACACGTGCCTCCGCGACGCGCGACGGGGGCGGCCACAACACTTCCGGCTCCGCGCCCGCTGATGACGTCGCGCCCCGCCTCGCCCCCTCCGCGCACGGGATCCTGGGAGCGCCAGGCTGCCCTTCCCGCCCCTCCCAGAGGACGTTTCCTGGGCGACTTCTTGCCTCATGTGAGCTGCTCTGTTTACACTTGCTGGTCGCTGGAAGATCGAAAGGCTGTACAAAATCCACATGGCGGCCGGCCGGCGTGGTGGCTGTCGCCTGTGATCCCGCGCTTTGGGAGGCCGAGGCGGGAGGTTCTTCTGAGCTGAGGAGTTCGAGACCAGCCCGGGAAACGTAGTGAGACCCCACCATCTCTACAAATAATAACAAACAAACCAAAGGTCCCCCCGCCCCGCCGGCCGCGGGTCGCCATCGCACCCAGGCACATTTGAAGGGCGGCAGGAGCCAAGGCCTGGCTGTCACTGCTGTCCCGGACCCCTTCGACAGCCCCTGGGGATCCACCAGAGGGCTGGCCCGTGGCTCACTGCCCAGTCCTCTATGAGGACACTTTGCCATAGACATTTTGTTATTGCAGACTGCTCTGGAAACACCCCTGACTGGGCCCTAAGATGAATTCCAGAAAGGAATCGCAGGTCAAGGGGCCGTCCTAAAAGGCTCGGGCTAGGGTCAGCCAGAGCTCTGTGCAGCAGATGGGGACCTGGAAAAGTCTGCAGAAGTGGCCTTCCGCCCAGGCCCTGCCTCCCCCGACGGGGGCACGTTCTCCTGAGTGCAGAGCTGCTTCTAGGAGGGAGAGGGAGTCATGTATCCCCTCCTGGGAACCAAGGCATAATGAGAACCGGATGACTTGGGCCCACTTTGGAGTCTGGTGAGGAGCCTGAGCAGGAGACTGGAGGAGGTGCTGCTGGAGGACAGGCAAAAAAGGGAAGCGGGAGTGGTGTTCTGTCTCAGCAATGCCATTCCCAGCTGGCTTCTCTGTGGAGTGTGTGTGCAGGGGAGCGGGGGCAGGGGACACAGATTTTCTTCCTCCAGCCCTTAGCTCTCAGGACCAGAGCTTGGAGAGGAACAGAGACTCCCCTACCCAGCCTAGGGTTTAGCCTATGCCCGAACCCAAGCCAGTTAGCAATGACCCTAGGCCACCTTCCCCAGTCACTCAGCCACTGCAGCCTGGTAAAATGAGGTGGCCAGGCTCCTTGAGAGCAAGCTCTGCTCTGGAGCCCCGGCAGCCTGTGGAACACTCTCAACTCTCTCTCCTCTGGGGCAGGCCAGGCCACGGTGTTTGTGGTCCTTGCATTGGCTTCTCAGGGTCCATCATGGAAACCCAGGGTTCCAACCTCAGCCCCTCTGCGTCCCTGTCCTAGCTGCGGCTGACAGCCCCCAGGAGTGAGCTGACGAGAGGCCTTCCATGGCCTCCCACTCTGTGGGCTCCTATCCCTGTGGGGCCACCACACTGGCCACCAACTGCCTGTCCCTCTGCCTCATGGCCTCCCTGCCTTCTGCTCTCAACGCTGAGACAACCCAGAGCCATCCGCAGCTCCCCAGCCTGTGTTCCAGCGGGTGCTTGTCTCCCTTGATGGTGCACCCCCCTGAGTCACCCCCTAATTTCTCCCCTGGGGGATTCTGACTTTCCACTTCTCTTGGGTTTCTCTTCCCCAGCCTCTCAGCTGTGGTGTGGAGTCAAGGCCAAGTGCCTATAAGGGCCTAAGTTAGGACTTGGTGACTCGTTGGTGGTTTCCCTTGGTTCCAACTTCCGACTTGCCTCTGTCCATTATGGCTGGTCAACTCCAGTGCCGCTTCCTCCAGGCAGCCTCCTCAGCCCTGCCCACCTGCTCCATCTGAGCCTGCCCCAGTCCCCAGCCTGAGTCCTCAAGCAGAACCACCACCTCTACCCCAGCTGATGAGCCCCTGTGCAGAGTCTGTGCTGGGGCTCCCCTAACAAGAGCCGATGCTGTGGATGCGCAGCTGTGTCATTGCATTGAATTCTCCCCAGGATCCTAGGAGGGAGGGAACACTTCACAGATGGGGAAACTGAAACTCAGAGAGCTTAAATAACTTGCCTAAGGTCACAGCCAGTGAGGTCAAAGTGGGATTAGGATTTAAAGCCAGTCAACCCACAAAGCTCAGCACTGAGGAGGCTGAGGAAGGAGGACTGCTTGAGGCCAGGAGTTGGAGTTCCACCTGGACAACATAGCAAGACCCCATCTCTTAATTAATTAATTAATAGTTAAAGCCAGTAAACCAGCTTCAGAGAACCAATGGCTGATTTGAAGAAAGGTGGGAACAGGCAGGAAGATGCCCACTGGGGAGGCTGCTCTGCCCAAATGCCTGGCAGGGACCACGTGACTGCAGTCCCCCCTCCCCACTGACCGGCAGCACAGCCTCCTACCCCACTGTGCTCTGTGAACCCCAGTCAGCCCCTGTCCTCTCCTGACCTCAGCCCACTTCCTCTTTGGGTTCTGCAGAAGTCAGCGGCAGGGCACTGGGAGGAAGCAATGCTGCCTCCGGCTGTACTCTGGGAGCAGACTCCAAAGATGGCTCCCGGTGCCTACCTGCAGCCTGCCCTGGGCCTGCCCTGCGGAGCGGGCTCATGTTCTGTGGATAAAAGGCCTGGGCCTCCTTCGAAGCCCCCTCCAGGCCCAGTGGTTCATGTGTAACCAGGTGTGGTTTCTGAGGAACCTGGACCAAACACTGGCCTGGTAACGTCATCCAGCCTCCTGCCTGGATGCTGCCAAAGCAGCTCCTGTGGGCCCTGGGGAGAGCAGGGGTCTGCAGACAGGGGAGTCAGCTGGAGGGGAGGCCGCCACCTTCCAGACCCCTCCCCTTGTGCCCCTGCTCTGGGGGCCACTGAGGCTCCCAATCAGCCCCTGCCTGGGGGGTCTCACCCTGACATTTGTGTCTGAAGGCCTTGAGGGCCACCTCCCCACTGTCATCTGCTGCTGCTGCCCCCATCACAGCTGCCTGGCCCCCTGCACTGTGGGTCTGCCCCAGGCAGGCTAGTACAGGGCCGGGCTCTGGGAGGGTGGCAGGATTTCTGGGCCCATCACTGGACACCTCTGTCACCGAACTTCTGATCTATCTGCACATTGAGACCAGTCTGGCCAACACAGCGAGATCCCTGTCTCAACAGAATAAAAACAAAAATAAAATGATCTTTTGTCTGCACACTGGGGACAAAAATACCCACCTCAAAAGGCTGAGGGTTGCCAGCGGCCCCAGCCCGGAGCCGCCCCAGTGCCCGGCTCACTGCTTGCCATAGGCAGCCCTGCCCTCTGGACCTCCCCTCTGCAGTTCTGCCCTTGCCTGTGGAGGGAAAGTGTGGGGAAAAGAAAGAGAGATCAGACTGTTATTGTGTCTATGTACAAAGAAGAAGACAAGAAATTCCATTTTGTTCTGTACTAAGAAAAATTCTTCTGCCTTGAGATGCTGTTACTCTGTAACCCTAGCCCCAACCCTGTGCTCGAAAAACCGTGCTGTGTTGACTTCAGGTTTAATGAACTTAGGGCTGTGCAGGACGTGCTGTGTTAAAAATGTGTTTGCAGGCAGTATGCTTGGTAAAAGTCATTGCCATTCTCCAGTCTCAAGTACCCAGGGACACAATGCAGTGCGGAAGGCCGCAGGGACCTCTGCCCAAGAAAGCCTGGGTATTTTCCAAGGTTTCCCCGCACTGAGACAGCCTGAGATACGGCCTCGTGGGAAGGGAAGGACCTGACTGTCCCCCAGCCTGACACCCGTAAAGGGTCTGTGCTGAGGAGGAGTAGTGAAAGAGGAAGGCCTCTTTGCAGTTAAGAGGAAGGCATCTATCTTCTGCTCGTCCCTGGGAATGGAATGTCTCAGTGTAAAACCCGATCGTACATTCTATTTACTGAGATAGGAGAAAACCGCCTTATGGCTGGAGTTGAGACGTGCTGGTGGCAATACTGCTCTTTACTGCACTGAGATGTTTGTGTAAAGTCAAACATCAGTCTGACCTACGTGCACATCAAGGCACAGCACCTTTCCTTAAACTTATTATGACACAGAGACCTTTGTTCACATCTCTTCCTGCTGACTCTCTCCCCACCATTACCCTTTAGTCCTGCCACATTCCCCTCACCGAGATAGTAGAGATAGCGATCAGTAAATACTGAGGGAACTCAGAGACCAGTGCTGGCGCAGGTCGCGGACGCTGAGCGCCGGTCCCCTGGACCCACTGTTCTTTCTCTATACTTTGTCTCTGTGTCTTATTTCTTTTCTAAGTCTCTCGTCCCACCTGACGAGAAATACCCACAGGTGTGGAGGGGCTGGCCCCCTTCAGGAAAGGAGAAAGGAAGTCCTTTCCCATGGGGGGCCTGGGGAAGCAGGTTAGGCTGTTAGCCAGGAGGGTGAGAGAGGGGAGGGGTGGCCTTCTGAGAAGCTGCAGATGCTGAAGACAGAGGAAGTCCTGAGTGTGGCCCCCAAGTCTGTCCCCCAAGTCTGCCTCCAGGGGCTGCAGCTATCCCTTCCAGAAACAGAAACTTAAGCCCTTCAGGCTTTGTGGGGTAGTGGGTGGGCAGCTGCAGAAATATCTAAAATTAGGGGAGGAGGCTGCATGGGGCACAGAGTGCAGGAATTCCAGGCTTAAGGGACACCTGCTGTCTGGCCAGCCCAGAGGGGCCATTTGCCTTTTTACATCGGTTGGTTTTATTAGTCTAAAAAATGCTGACTTGGAACAGGACGAAGTATGCTAAGAAGCAAAGAGGCATGTGTCTCCTCTGCAGTGAGCATGGGGATGAGACAAGAGGCAGGGCCACACGTAGATGCTAACACAGGCAGAGGCGAACGGGCTTCCCCTGCCTTTGGGCCTTGGCTCTGGTGCCTTCTCCTCAGAGGCATCTATTTGGGATCCCTTGTACCTGGAACTGCAGTGTTCTGTGTCCCCCTGACCCCAGCAGCACTGATGTGATGTCATCTGGTTTGCTGGACTGCTGGCTCATGGCCAGTCTTCCTCCAGCAGCAGGCGCTGTGTACCTCGCTGCCTGACGCATCCCCAGCGGCTGGCACCGGGCAGGTGCTCACTGTGCCACTGCTGGAGGGATTTATATCAAATATACCCACAGATAAGGGTTCCCCCCTTCCTTGCTTTATTCACAGGGCAACGGATGAGGGTCTTTAATGGATATTAACCCCACATACTCCACTTCCCCCTCTTAACAGCTGCATAATATTCCATAGCAAGCAGGTGCCTTCCTACCCTTGGCCAGTCCCGCCTGATGGGCATCGGGTTGTATCCAGATGTGTTTGTTTTTCCCTCCACAGATCTCTTGGTCCATTAGTGGAGAGAACTGAGACATCCTTTCTAAGGGCTGCATTCCTAGAAGGGGGATTGCTGGGTCACGGAGTTCCAACATTGTTAATGTTAATAGATTCTGCCAAATTACCTTGCAAAAAGCAGGCAGCAATTCAAGTTGCAGGCAGCGTGCGGACGCCTGTCTCCCCTCATTCCAACTCATAGCCAGCACTGGCTGGAGTCGATCTGGGAGTGCTGGGGGTAGGGAGAGGTGGAGTCACTGCTTAATTTGCATGACTCTAGTTATTCGTGAGAATTTTTTTTTCTTCTTCTTCTTTAAATCGCATTTATGCTTATTGTTTATTAGCGTTTCCTCCCATCCTTGCCTGAAGTCTCTGGGGACTGCCTTTGGGGGTCGGGTGAGCTTGTCCCCTGCGAAGAGGGCCCAGGGTTGGGGTCTGGAAACTCCAAGGCTGCACTTGCCAGCGGCCTCTTAAGACCACAGTGTCCGCGTGGTTTCTGGCTCGCATTCCCCAGAGCCCCAGGACTTGTCCAAGGTCAGGGCACCGCGGGTGCCCCCGGGCTGGGCCGCAGCCAGACTGCGCCT